TTTTAACGTAAACTTGTGTGAATGAGAACTTAGTTTAGTACTCACATGCTGTGACAGCCGCTTTCCGTCCGTGTGCTTCGGATGTGTGCTCTCAGAAAACCGTATATAAGAAGTTTAAACTCATATGGTTTAAAACGCATGATTTCAGCACGATAAACATGATAATCAGAACCAAAACAAGATGTTTTAGAGGGTAAGAGCTGTAATGGCACAGCTCTATTCTGGAAAAGGGGGCGGGGAGCAGCAGCTCATTTGCATTTAAAGAGACAGGCCCGAAAAACAGCTTGTTTCTGCTTCCACTAAAAATAGGCATTTTCAAAATGATATAATAAATGATCTGTGGAGTATTTTGAGCTGAAACTTCACAGACACATTCTGGGGACACCAGAGACTTGTAATACATATTGTAAAAAGGGGCATGATATGTCTCCTGTAAGTAAATTAAATAAAGTTCTACTGTACAAAAGTAATATATTAATATCATTTAAATGTTTCTTAAAGTTTAACCGGACATTTATTATTTTGTATGTGATATGACGACAGTTTTTCTAAAATGAAATGGTCAAATGCTAATAAAGTGACTCTCAGAGCAGCTCTGGAGATGATGTTCATGTGTTCACGTCCTCATTTAGTGAGACGCCATTCATTCACACAGAGACACACAGAACATGCAGGATTCACATTCAATAGTATTTTTGCACCTTAATATTCACAGACACTAGCTCATATTGCGATCTGATTGAAGTGAACTGACTTAACAGTACTTTTGATTTATTCGTCCAAAATTTGGCAAATACCGTGGCATTCCACGTTATACAGTAAATTCCATTTTTATGACTGGATTCTGCGATTCCGTCTGCGTTTTCCGCATTGCGGAAATCATAGGGCCTTACCAGTGCATGAAAAAAGTGATTTTGCCCATAGTGTCTTGCCTTAATTGTATAACTGAAAGGACACCATAAAGTGTAACCAACTTCCTTAAATTTAGAGACTTTCACTTCAAATCATATTTTGCGGTAGACAAAAGTTTTCAAGTAATGTGGTAGAGAAATGAATATTGCAGATGATACTACAAGTTTACTCAAATTCATTTTGTACAATAAAAATAGATTACTAGCAGACAAGTGCTATTATGCCCTCAATGACATCTTGAATATGGATTTATACTGCGAAGGGATGCCTGTTATGGGTGTTTTATGGTATTGGAAGAATGTGTCTAATACAAATTCCAGCTATGCTGAGACTTGTGATTGACAGATTGTTTTTGGAAGGGACTAGGCCACCGTTGCATCATCAGGACAGCAGGCACAAGCTCTCCATGACATCAGCACATATTCGCCTCTGTTTTATATCAGCTATGGAAAATGTGACCATTTCCAAAGAGCTCTGGGAGGAGTCTATGTTTTATGGCTCAGAGTGAACAGAATGCAGGGTTTGCGACTCTTTTTTTTGTGTTCTAGTAGATTCCAACTGCTGGTATGATTAGTACTGTGGGTGGAGTTTTTAATGGTGGCGTATTAATTTTCACCTTCCTAACACTTGTTTTAGGGCATATTTGTTTTGTCCATATTTGTAAGCCCTTTTTGTGTTATTTTGACCTTGTCTGTAAGATCTTGGATTTTATTCAGTTTATTCAATCCCAAAATTAGCAAACGCCCCAGGATATCTGACTCGAGCAATAATTGTACCTTAATTACAAGGCTTTGTCTCGATTTCTCGGGAGACAATGAACTCATCAGTCAGCGTTTGTGTTAAAGGAGTCATATGATGTTGCTAAAAATAACATTATTTTGTGTATTTGGTGTAATTAAATGTGTTTATGTGGTTTAAGGTTAAAAAAACACATTATTTTCCACATACCAGTCTTAACTTTAATAATGAATATCTCTTTGGGTTTGAGACTTTAGTCTTTGCAACTTTAGGGATCTTATCTATTCACGAACAGCTTGTAACACTCCAAAGAGAAAGGAAACTTGAAATCGCATCATATGACCCCTTTAAAACAGATAATTTGAGATGATTTTGGACGTGAGGAATTGTTCGCCATTCAATGTAATTACAACAGTTTCATAGCTGTGATTTAAAGCATTAAGCAGACCATTGCGCTCTCAGCTGTTTGCATCTGGTTGCCATCGAAGCAAGTGCTGTTGCCTGGCGCAGTGGAATGTTCATTCAGAATTTTTGGCCGTGACTTGTATTTCGTGAGTTGCGCAATTATGTACTGATGTTTAGCTGAAGGCCTGTCTCGGATGTACTGGCATGGAATGATCAGGACAGATCCCAGTCGTGAATTCTTTCTGGGAAACAAATTTGTTTGGTTGCTTGTGGTGGGAATCATTTATCATCTCATTTTAGCACAAAATCGTCTGATAAAGCGCACTTAGTAGTATATGTTTTAATATTCAATCGTTTACGCAACTCTTCAAAAGTTTGGATTTTTCAGTGTTGTTGAAGGAAGTCTCTTATGCTCACCAAGGCTGCATTAATTTGATCAGAATCAGAATCAGAATGAGCTTTATTGCCAGGTATGTTTACACATACGAGGAATTTGTTTTCGTGACAGAAGCTTCCACAGTGTAACAGAATGACAGTGACAGAACAAAAAACACAGATAATAAGAAATAAAAAATAGAACAAGTAAATAAGGTATAAAAATATATAAATCGACAATTGTATGTGCAGGTATATTACAATAGACAGTTTTGTATGTACAGGTACTGTATATTATGTGCAAACTGTTTCAGCAGCTCCTGTGGCAGGTTGCTTGATATTGATCAAAAATACAATAATAAGAGTAATATTGTGAAATATTATTACAATTTCAAATAACTGTTTTCTATTTTAATAGATTTTAATTTAATTTATTCCTGTGATGCAAAGCTGAATTTTCAGCATCATTACTCCAGACTTCAGCATCACACGATCCTTCAGAAATCAGATTTGCTGCTCAAAACATTTCTTATTGTTATAAATGTTGAAAACAGTTGTGCTGCTTACTATTTTTGTGGAAACCAGGATACATTCCTTTAGGATTCTTTGATGAATAGAGAGTTCAAAAGAACAGCATTTATTTGAAACCGAAATCTTTTGTAACATTATAAATGTCTGTACTGTCACTTTTGATACATTTTAATGCATCCTTGCCGAATAAAAGTATTACTGTCTTTCCAAAAAAACATTGCTGACCCCAAACTTTTGTATCCAAGGTTAGGCAAGTTTTAAAACAGAGCCTCTGTGTGGTCATTTCAAGATGTTTAATTTTTGTTTGATTGTGTTCTAAAAATAGAGCATGAAGCAAACATTTTGCTATTGTTGTGTTTGGTCATTCTCGCTCAGTTTGGATTACAGTAATATGTGTGTCTGCATGTTCCCTCTAGCTAAGTCTGGGAGGTTTTGAGGTCACGCCTCCTGTGTCCTTTCGCCTGCAATCCGGAGCGGGGCCGGTCTACATCAGCGGTCAGCATTTTGTCAGTGAGTACCTTTTGTCTTTTCTCGTTTGTTAGGACTGAACACGACCACTGAAAACCAAGAGTTCAGGAAAGCCCTTTCCCAGGTGTGTCTTCTTTCACTCTTGTTTACTCTTCTCTCTGATGAAATGATTCTTTCTGCTTGATGCGACGTCCATGGGAGTAATCTGGCCATCCTAAAGGGCCCCTCTCTCTCCACACGGACTCAAAATGAATGAACCCGCACCATGTAACACCATTTTCTCTGATATAATCTCTTCCATATGCTTACACATGCTGTTCAGACACTTTCAGCATGTCAGTTCTATTCTCCGGATATTAAACGAGTGCAGCATTTAGGCCTCCACTTACATGTCAGATTGGTTTTGTCATACAAACTTGGACATGTGAAGTTTTTTTATTTAAACCACAGTTATTGATGTCTGGAGATCTCTGTGGTTTGCTCAGGTGTGAAGGAATCAGATGATGAGGATGAGGAAGAGGAGGAGAATAATACATCACCAGTGAAGAGACCGTCCAACATGACCCTTGCAAAAGTGCCTCAGGTGATCTGTCTTTAACCACACAACAAATAATGCTGTTTCCACACAATTCCTTAAAAGCTACTAAATTATGACTGTTTTTTGGTGCAGTACACTTTGATTTAAAAAAAGTCTTATTTAAATATAAACGGAGATAGATACTTAACACAGCAAAAAAAATAAAAATCTATCTTGACATTTTTCTTGTTTCACAGTACAAATATGTAAATATTCTTAGATCAAGATACAACTACTTGAAAAGCAAAATTGTTTTCTGAAAAATGAAGAGTTCATGCTTAAAACAAGAAAAAAAATCTATCAATGGGCTATAAAGTATCAATATAAATCTATCAATCTTATTTTCCCTTTTAAGATTTTCCTACACCAGATATTTTTTTTTTATTTTAAGCATAGGTATTGTACTGGGAAATAAGACAAAAATAATAAGGAAGAAGATAATTTTTGCTGTGTATTTATCACAGAATGTGGTACCTTCTTTTGTTAATAAGACATGAGAAGGGTTTAAGTGGGTGTTGAGAAATATTTAAAGAGAAACTGTGAGGTTGACTTTTGTGGAATCTCAATAAAGAGACACATTGTTCAATACACACTTAATCCTCTGGATAAGTGTCTGAGACAAGCAACAGCTTGTCATCAATGTGATACACAGGGAGTCTGTTTGAAATCTTTTGTCAGAGTGTTGAAATGATCCCAGAATTCTTACTGAAGCAGTAAGCCATTAGAGGCTGTCACTTACAGTGTTTTTACTAGGGTTAAGGGCTGTTGTTGTGATTTACTCACGGTAAAATAAAGACAATTTAATGCATTAATAAATGTTTTTTAGAACTATAGTATATTACACTTTCCTCTAGCATCTCACAAGTCACTTCCATTCAGGTTTTACTGCCAGAGCCCATTTACTTTGTTCTGTTTCCAGTGATTTGGTTCTGTCATTTCAGAAAAAGCTGAAAATGGACACGGATGAAGATGAGGATAGTGATGAAGATGATGATGACGACGACGATGATGATGATAATGATGAAGAGTGAGAACACATGTTTGTTCAGTGTAAATTTGTGCTCTGTCGAAAGGTTTTTACTAGGGCTGTCCTCGACTAAAGATTTTTCTGATAGACTAATAGTTGTTCATTTAGTCGACTAATCACACGTTTATATTAATAAACCATATAATTCATAATAATGAGCCTTTAATTGCCTATAGCCTATCAGTGCTCAAGTACACACATAAAGCTTGCCGCAGCGCACTGCTGAAGTAATGATAATGAATGTGTCAGGGAAAAAACAGCAAGAAGACTGCCTTAACATTATAATAATTAATTGACAAACTAGTGTTTTCTGTATTTTCGGCTGCAGTGACGAAGTCGACGACACTGACTCGTCCTCTCCACTAGAGCCCGACTGATATAACGTTTAGCCAGTATTATCGGCCGATATTAAATTTTTTTTTTACAGAACATATAACGCAGATAAAATGCTTGAAATGGTGTAATTACTTAGTTTGTCCAGCAGAGCGCGCTCCATTGTTTGCTACTGGCGACCTGGATGAAACGCTTTAAAGCTTAAGGCTATGGAAAACCATTGACACTTTGAACGGCCATATCTCCGTAACGGCGTGGTGGATCCGCACCAAATTCGGGGATCCCTTCATCCCGAACGCGAATCGAGTGTACGTCTCGAGGTCCTATTTCGAATGAGACCACCCCCACATCGATAGCCCCCGGGGTTCAGGAGTTACGGGCGGTTAAATTCGCGGTTCGGCGCCGACCGATCTAGCGATCCCAGGGGGCTAACGACGCGCGGAGGGTGGCGTTCGAGAGGGCTCCTCGAGCTGAAGGGATTCCCGAATTTGGTAGAGATCC